TTATCAGAGCGAAACCTGCGCGCGGCCGATCCGATCCGGCGCGAGTAACGACCCGAATCGCAATGTCGCCGAGCGCGAGACCTTTCGCATGAAAAATCGGTCCCCGCCGGGCGGCGCGCCGCGAATATCTCCGAGGAGATCCGTCGCTGCGGATTCCGCGCGCGTCGGTACAATTCTTATCTCCGACCGGCGAATTCGACGCCACCGACTTATCTCCCGTTTTCCACGTGAACTTCCCCAACAACGGTCGTAATTGTGGAGTAATAAACGCTTTCCGGCGATCTCCGCGGCCGATTCTAATGACCGTGTTTCTCGCCGCGCCGCGGTGTACGAAACTCTCGCGTCTCGAACGCTCGGTTGTCCGCGGCTCCGAGAATTGAATAATATTCCGCGATATCATCTCGCGCGGCTACAAAGCGATATCGTCGCGCAGGGGATACAGACTGTACGTGGTCAGACGCGGAGGAAACGATATCGACTAGGTCGCGGCGCCGAGATTTCTGCAGTCCGTAGAAAGTTGCCATAAACAAGGATCCCCGGGTGTAACGGGCGTCGTCGAACGACAACGGGACCGTTCGCGGCGAGCTTCAAGTTCAATTCCATTTCGAGAGCCGCGCGCGGTCGTTACTCCAATCGCATTTCGAGGTTCGCGCAGCGTTTGCCTACGGACTCGTTCCGTCTGCGACCGCGACCGGTATATTTCCATGTCAATGCCTCCGTACGTTTCCCGTGAATCGCCTGTTCGGCGAAACTTTCTTGCAGGCCGGGAACGTCGCTCGCTTCGTCTTCGGAACGATCCGCCTGAATATTCGCGGGAGATCGACTCGAGTTTCTTCTCGGAGCGCGCTTCGCGATAGGCCTTATCTCCGCGTTCTCGTGTCGTCACGATCGTAGACTTAAGGTTACGGGAGAAGGTTACGTTTTCTTTTTCCCCCCGGTTGCTTTTTACCCTTTCGCTTTATCGCACGAGATACTCGCACACTCGCGCGCGCGCGCGCGCACGCACGCACGCACGCACGCACGCCACGGCCGTGCCGTCCTCTTTCCGCGGTGCCAGTGCTATCTAATCTGGGGTTCTGGTCGCGTGGTGGACGACGTCGGGCCCACGTTTTCTACAGGCTGAGCCGTCCTCCGATTTCGGGAAACAGGTTCGGCTTAATGGCGCCTAAGACTTCGGGTATACGTTTTTCGTTCGGCCTTCTTTCAACCGGCCACTGTTTGTCTGGTTATTTATCGAGGGATACACGGGGCGTTCGTTTTAACTCGAGCACCTAAACTGTTTCCGTTATTATTGAAAGTAAGAGAAACTCGACTGAATAGGATGTACGTGCTTTTAAGACGCGTATTTATCGGTGATAAAAAAATACTGTGGACGTCACTTTAACGGTTTTTTCAAGGTCGTCGTATCTTTTTTTGCATATTAACATACATTTCTTATAACGCGATGTGGCTGCCTCCTTTAAACTGAAATTAATCTTTTTGCCTTCAAGGTCTTGCTGTAGGTCGTTAACTTATTTTAACATCGCAGATAATCTTAGTGCCCGAATTAAAATTAACAACCTGTATATGTCTAACGTCGGGTCAGTGTTGCATATACGAAGTCCGAGGGAATTGAAGGGAGCGTTGGTACGCGTTCTTCGTCGTCTGATCACGGCTGTCTAGATCTACTGCGGTATTTCTCGAGAATGCGAAACGATTCCAATATAAAATTGCTAGGTTTTCCGTGGGTGAATTCAGATGGACTTTTCGGGTTAATTAGTTATAGATAGACTGGGGATCTCGATGGACATTCAAATTTTCAGGAACACGACTGGAAAAGTAAGGTTACGATGGAGAACAGTTTTCCCTAAAAGATGTTATAAAAAAGTCACGCTCGTAACTCATCTTTCGAGATACGACGTAATAGCTCGCGTTCCAACGGTGCCAGCGGATATCAGCAGCCGGAGAGGAAGCGTCGAAATTATTCGCTCCGTTTGCACGGTGTTCCCGCGGACATTCTTAAACGGCGAACGCGTCATCGCGTCGTATCGTCCACGGAATTCGCAGCGACCGATCGCCGGGTCATTACGTAATTTCTAGGATCGCGCGAGGAGGAAAAGAAAAGCGAAGCGGAAAAAAGCCGATTAATCATGTACCCAGCGAGCGTCCGCGCGAGAATCCTATCGGCCAGTCGTTGCGTCGAAATCTCCGGCTCGCGAGTCGCACCTGAACTCGCCCGGAAACGCGGCAGCCGGCTCGGAAGCCGTCTTTAATCTTCCTTCCGTTTTCTTCCGACAGCCCGTGAGCGAGTGGACGTCCCAGAACGTCGTCGAATGGATGGCTGCTCTGAATCTGTACCGCTATGCGGACGTTTTCAAGTCGAAGGACATCAAGGGCAGCGATCTGCCGCACCTGGACCGGGAGAAGCTCTTGGTAAGTCGACTTGCTCCACTTGGTAGTAGCTCGTACTCCCGACAACATCTCGCCGGGATCCTCGGCGGACCGGGAATACGGTCGCTTGAAATTCCGCCCCTTATCAGGGAACATCGTTATAAACATTAGAGGCTATTAAACGTAGATAAAGTCTGGCGACACGGGACGAAGGCGAAAGGACTAGTCGACCGCGAATTTTTGCCTCGTTTTTCTCCGTTCCTGGCTCTCCTCCTCCCAGTCTCCTTTCCTCGAGGAACCGTGCTGCGAACGTAGCAGAGAACGAGAGAGAGAGAGAGAGAGAGAGAGAGAGAGAGAGAGAGAGAGAACACGTAGAGCGTGGCGCGGATCCGAGGATCGAAAATTCTTTGGCTAGTACTCAAAGGCGATGACCTCGACTCAAGAGTATCTGGACGACGTTTTCCTTGGCCCGTTGACCCTGTAATTGCCCTGTACCGTCTGCCTGCACGCCACAGTCGACTCTTTATCGAGTCCTCTCATCCGGCGTCCTCCTCCCCCGCCGTCCCCTCTCACTTTTTCTCCGCCGTAATGAAATTTTTCATCGCTTATCGCGAATACTTGGCGAGTACTTTCGGCTGTATCTCCGCGAAAGGATTTTCTTCCCGTTATCTGGCGCTCGCCGGAATCTCCGGGGCGAACCGGAACGTCGGCCCCCCGGGTTCGCCTTCGAGAGGCTCCTCTATCCGTCGAGCTTCCTCCGCGAATGGATCAAAAGAACGAGCAGGATTCGACTCGATCGAGGAACGGAGTCGCGATGGAATTTAATAAGAAGAAAGGATTTTTTGGATTCGGAAACCGGCGCCGGGGAACGCGGCTTATCTTCCACTCGGCCGGGGGAGACCGGGGATCCTCTTAGCGGCGAGTAGACGCCGGGGATCGCGCGCCGGAGTCCTGCGAGAGGATCCTTCACAAATTTAGTCGCGACACGTCTCGGCGCTGGCCGGGCTCGACCGAGGAAGAATAAAAATACCCGTCCGGCCCAAGGCTTCTCCGGGCGTAAATCGCGTATTACCATGCTAATCGACTCGTAAATCGTCTCGAAGCGTCCTTTCGGCGCGAGAAATCGTCCGATTCCCGTTCGCCTCGTCCTTCGCGCGGATTCCCGCGTCTCGGCGACGAGCGCCGGGCCTCTGCGAACCCGATCCTTCGCCGTCTTAGGGCAATTTAAAATCGATTCTTCCATTATTCCAATTGTGTCGGTTCCATACTTCGTTCCACTTTCCTCTTTCCTTCCGATTTTCTTCTCTGAACGCGCACTTAGCTACTCAAGTTGCAGGATTTTTGAGAAAACCTCGTCGTAGACACTCGAGTTGAGCAATACCGCCGATTGGCTTATGTAGAATATTAAGTATCGTGATAACCCTAATTAATTCGATAAAAACGATCGGAAATAATGACAGCTTCGAAACAAAATGGATTGCTCGTACGATTTCCATGAAAATTGAACGATCTCGCGGAGGGGCATCGATAAAATTCAAACACACCGTCATCGCGGTGCGCAGCGCTCGATCGGTTAAATGAATGATTCCTAATTATCGGAATCCCCGTCGGCTCCGCTGCCGATCAACCGAGCGACGATGCTTCGTCTCGTCGAAGACGCTTCCGTCGAGGTCGCCGCCGCCGCGAGACACGCCTCGGTTATTGAAAATAAATTAAGGGCGTGTACTATCTTTATCGCGCGGACACGAAGCGACACGACGACGACGCGAGGCGTCTTCCTTTCCAGACGACGGAGCGTAACAATTTAACGATCGCCCGCCGCGTGTCTTTCGCCCTGCCGGCTCCTCCCGAAAAAAAAGCTGTGTCGGTGTCCGCGTGTAATTAACACTTAACGGGCTCGCGGCGGGACGTCAGCTTGATAGATCGCGCCGCGTTCTCGTTACCTCGGCCGTCGATTCCAGCGAAAATCGCGACCGCGGCGATCGTCTTTTTCCCCGGCTCGCGGGAATTCCTTTTTCCGCGGCGTTCTCGGGCGACGCGGAACCGGCCGCGGCTTCTTTGGCACGGACCGCGCGCGCGATAGAACAATGACGCGCGTCGTCTTCAGCGTAGCCACGGACTCGCGCCGCATACCAGGTGTTACGGGAAGATAATATTAACCGTACTACGCTTCCCGGTTCGGCTATACGTTTAAAATAATATTGAGAAATGAGACGGACGTATATTGGGTTTTCGATAGAAGAGCGTCGCGATATGAACCACTCCATCGGCCAAATCGGTTCACTCCGCAGAACAAAAGACAGAAGTAGCTATCGCCACTATGCTCGTGGTGGTAAGACATCTATCGTTCTTATAGTTCTCAAAGTTCTCGTTTCCAAAATCAGTCTGCGGGAATTACAGGATTTTCGTCATTCCCTTTGAAACCCGAGAACGTACAACATCTGAACGGTCGCGAGCCAGAACGCTCGTGGAAAAGATTGAAATCGTTATTACGTTGATAAAGAAGGCGGGCATAGTCAAGCTGGCGGAAGCAGAGAGCATTTTCTGGCTCGCCGGCGAGAAAGACGTAGCCGTCGAATGAATTCGCCGGCGCGGATCGAAATTTATGAATTTTCGAGCCCGCTCTCGAAATTAATCCCATCCGGTGATTAAGATTAAATCACCGCCGCCCTGTTTCTCTTGGATTTCAGTTTCATCGTGGAATGTATATCGGATGATTAATATGCATGGACCTAGAAAGTATTCGTCCCCGGCTGCTACCCCGTTCCCTCGTTCCCGGGATGTAGAAGTAATGTACACCGTGTTCCCGGAGGCGCTTCCACGAGCGTTCCTCCTAACTTCGTTACGCCGAATTAATCGTCGGCGCCTCGTCACCCACCGGGGCGGGATCTAATTAGGGAATGTGTTTTATAGCCGCGGCGGCTCGGCCGGCCCTCGGTGCCATGTGCACCGCGCCGCTTTCTTTCGTTTCCTTTTCGACGAGCGCAGGCTGCACTCACGCGTGGACAGGCCGACGCGAATACAGGCGCAACCGTGCATCGATTCTCTACGCTTTTACCGCGCGTAATTCTAATAATAGGCGGGTTGGCCCAGTGTGGCGCGCCGTGGCGCCGCGCGAACACGGTAGCGAGCCGCATTTTAAAATAGTCCGCGGCGAGCGTGAACCCGAATACCATAATTTGGAAAAAATGTGTGCCAGCGAGACGGCGCATGCCGGAAGCGGCGCGGACCCGGGCGCGTCTCGAGCAACCTCCTCGATCCCCGAAAGTAAGATCGGCCGAGTTTTTGCCTGGCCCGAGCCTCGTCCCAGTTCTCGAAACCGTTTTACAATATTTCGTTTCTTCTTTCGACTCTTACGTAATTCACGGCGACTTCTTCGGGCCGAGGAACCGCGCGTTTCTTTCGGGCATCGAGGAATCTGTCGTTCGCGGAGGGTTGTCGCGCGGTGTTCAGGAATTCTTCAGTTCCCTTATATAAGTTTCACGAAGCGAAGCGTCTATGCAATTGCAATTGTACACGTGCTCGGATTCTATCGCGCGTTCGATTCTTATTATCGACGTGAATAATTTCTATGAGTCAGCCAAATTTTTCAGCTCTCGTGTCATACGCAGGCGTAGTCCTTATCGCGTTCCGATCGCTTATAATTAATTATCTCATCCATTACCTGTTACCTTTCGATCCGAGCGTCGCTAATGGATTCTCTTATCCGCGCAGCCAAAGAAATATCGAAAAGAAAAATTGCTGGCGGCTGGAGGAGTCAGCAGATTTTAGCGCTTCAGCTGCGCGGATCGATTAAGACATGATACTCGGGTTTTTCCTATCGCTTGCCCTTGAAAAGGATTTCTTCCACTTACTCGACCAGCGCCGACTTATCCGGAAACTATTTTCCACTCCTAAATCACGCGATCGCTAAACGATTCGTCGGCCGACGGTTCCAGTGAAGATCAATTTTTTAAATACCTCAACCGACGCACCGGACCGACTCGAGATTTACGGTATTTTTCCCGATGCGGGTGTTGCATCGATCTTCCACCCTCCTCGGGCTTCTCGCGCGTCCCCGGCCACCGGCCGTCGATTAATCAACCGGTCCTTTCACCCTCCATTAACCCGAGCCACCGTTTCCGAAGAAAATAACCGTCCCGGCAGCTTGGCCGTGACACACATCAGCGGAAGACGAACCGGGCGATCGGGAACAGTTCGAGTTCCGTTCGACTTTTGCCCCCGCCGATCACGGGGTCCGCGCGCACAGGTGTTTACCCGGCGCGAGCCGCGTGTACCTGACACCTGTTGACTCGAGTGGCAGATCCGCGCCGGGAAAACGGAGATGTCAGTCGCGGCCAGACGTAACGGCACGTACGAAATTACGACCGTTTCGTCGTTCACCCTTTTACGAGCGCCTCGCGTTTCGTTCTCTTTCATCTTCCCGTTCGTTGCGTCACCGGCGCGGCGCGGCGCACACGCGCGCGCGATTTCTCGGGGATCGCTCGTGAAACGAGATCGCTCCCGAGGCGATCGACGGGTTTCCATCCCGCGGCGGGCCACGCTCGAGTCTCGATCGGCGAGACTAGTCGCGCACCTCGACGTCGTCCCCCGGGACCGGGCGAGACGCGTCGACGCGGTCTTTGGAAAGTTTTTCGTGCGTACCCGAGACGACTTTTACACCCGTCGTATTTCTCGCGTTACGAGCGCTCGCGTTCGTAACTGTACCGCGACGCTGCGCTTCCTCGCCGTTCTTTTTCGCGCGTGGAACTACTGTGAATTTCGGGGGAACCCGGTGGATGCACACCAGAAGTGTCGGGCCCTCTTCGCGAAACGTGGAACTCGCGGATGTTCAACCGTCTACCGATATCGTAACGTGAGAAAATTCATGCGGACTTTAACGAAAGTGAGTGTCAGTTCTTTCGAGTTAAAATTCGATATTGTTCTGCTATCAATTGATATGCTCTTCAACGCAAAGTTCTGTTTCCAGCGAATTATTGATAAAGGAATCGTACGAAGGGTTACGTATCCATTGTCCTCCTTAGGTAACGCAATTAACCGTCGAACAATGAGTCAACCCTCGCCTTAACCCGTTTCGCAATTCGCCGGACCGATCCCGAAGAATATCTCCAGCGGGATTATTAAAAGTGACTTTTAAAGGCACAGCGTGACGTACTGCTCATCCGCAGTATATTCACATTAAGAGAACAATAAAAACGTCCCGATCGAACCTCCGTTCGGGTACTCGCGGCGTATTTACTGCGCGACGTAATCGTCGAAAGTGTCCCCCAATAAAAAGGGGCTTTTCGGTGAGCCGCGACCGTCTTGATTCGCGTCGCCATACCACGTTTCACTTTGTCCGCAGAACATGGGGATCAAGGATGAGTTCCATCAGAGGAACATCCTGGCCTGCATCGAGGAACTCCTTCAGCCGTCCCCGGCCCCGTCTTTCCCAGAGGCAGCGAGCACGACGCCAGCGATGCCGACCACGTCCACCATGCCGGCCGATTCCATGGGTGGCGAGGCCGCGACCACCGGCATCCCGCACACCCTTATGCCGCAGAGCTTCAGCGTGCTGGAGAAGTGCGACAAGTGCCATAAATATCTCAGAGGACTGCTGCACCAAGGTTTTCTCTGCCTAGGTATGTAGCGTTTATATTGATCGCGTACGCGGCGATTATTTCCCCGGGATAATTGCATTGTTCGTCGATCGTGAGGTCTTCGATGTGTGATCGATCGGCTGCCGGTATTATGCGTTCACGGTGGTATACAAGTTTTTCGACTCGTTGCACTAGTTTGACGAGTATCGCCTCTGATCACTATAATATAACCGGACAAAACAAACGTTACGAGATGCCGACCGCTGCGATTGCCCGCATTTCGACCGGATAAACGGCAGTGCAAGGTAAAGCGTGTTAGGAGGCTTCAGTGAAATTTGTGCTGTGAAATTCCTTTTTTGGAAGCTATCGTGGTTTCTCGGTGAGGTGCATCGATGGAAAAAGATCTTCCCCCATTCCGAGTACTCGAGTGTCGTCATCGGTTTCGATTATAATGGGATAAATAGTTGCCGTGACTAACAGTCCACGTCAAGCCCCTTTTTTTCAAGGAACAGGCTGCAATGAGGTCGAGAAATTACAGTTTAATTCCGCCGCTTGAAAATTATTCTATAAAACATCGTAATCTAATGGTCAAAGCTGCGTCCACGGTTGCATCATGCCCTCGAATTCGACGCGGCCGGTGACGATCTGGATGACGAAAGAGGACACTGTTCTTAGAAGTAGCTCCGTCTCCGAGATTAATTTTAAGTACTCAATGAAGAATTTTCATTTAAGACCGAGTGGTACGTGTCAGTCGTCAGTGTCGGATACGCGGGGATGTGGCTTAAGCCCTCCTATCGTCTGCGATGGATTACCGTGAAAATCCCCCGTGGCTCCAAGGCGACGATAAACTTTCCAGTTTCGGCGATTAAGGTTTTCACGGTAGGCCGTTGGAGCTTGTGAAGTCTACTCGGCTGAGCCGGTGCACTCGAATCGATTGTCTCCTTCGCGTTTTCTTCTGTTATCTCAACGAACGGTCTGACGGTCTGTATTCGTTTAGAACGTTATTCGGTTTCCTAAACACATTCGGAGACACGTCGATGCGTCTCGAAAGCTAGAAGCCTATTCGAGAAATTACAAAAGAAATTAATCGACCAACACCTCAGAGTTCCCATAGAGAAACTTGAAGAAGCCACTTGTGTCGTATACACTATGTACAAACGCATCGAACTCTGCAATAATTTCACCTCGTCACCGTCGATTCTCAATGATCGAAGGTGTTTCCAGCAACAGTCAGGATCGCCTCAGTTTTTCGCGCCGGAGTCTGCGAAAGCATGGTCAGCGGAAGTATCGTTACGCGAGTATCGACGTGACCAAGCTGAATTCGTTCGAACGATAATGCCGCGACACCGGCGTCGCCGCGACGAGGCTCGACAAGCTCGTACTGCATTCTTACTAATCGTTATTAATTTTCTGTATCAGATTGCGGTCTGGTGGCGCACAGGACGTGTTCAGCGACGGGCTTGCCGGCGAACTGCATGCCAGTCGACGCGGAAAATCCTGCCCATAGGTTTACTCCGGGTAAGTCTCTTTACGCACTCGCGCCGATTCCCTCGGCAATGCGCGCGTTCGCGCGTTCAATTTTGTAATGATGACATTGATACGGCGGCAAGCGACGGCGGCGGCGGCGGCGGCGGCGGCCGTAACACACCCATTTACTTCTTCGCCGCGTTAATGGACGGAACACGGAAACAATTTAAAAATTCAGATGTCTTTTAGCCGGCTGCGTGTGTCCCCGGATTGCATCAGAAACGTGTTCGCTGACGCCGGAGAACCGCTTTGCAATCGTAGACTCGGTTATGAAGTCTACGGCAAGGACACGTTCGACTCGCGCGCGGCCGCGCGAACGCGTTACTTGTCGCTCTAATATCTGAATAATGAAATATTCATGCCAGCGTCTACGTAGCCGCGCGTTCGATCGGCCGGCGAGATGATCGAGCGACAGAGAAAGAGAGAGAGAGAGAGGAACACCGATAGTACGAACAATATAAAGACGAAAGGAGAAGGAGAAAGAATAGTGGACTCTTTTAAATTCGCGCCGTCTAGTTTTTCGGTCGGGCACCGTCGTCATCGTCGTCGCGGCGATAATACGCGACGCCCACCGGCCCGCCGGTGTGTGCGTACGTGCTCGCCTGCGTGTGCGCGCCGCGTGTCCGTGAAGGTAGACAGTTTTCCGAGAAATTCCGTGGCCAGTCTCGGAATCGTCGTTCGCCGAGCAGACGACTATAATCGATAAAAGCCGACTCAGCGCGCCTCCGCACACCCGGTGTCGTCCGGCTCGGATATATTCCGCGCTCGTGCCGGCACGGCGCGCTCTCGCTCCGATGAGCTTCATTAGCTTCGCGCTCGCGTCGATGATGGAAGACGACGAGGGGCGCGCGACCGCGCGCGCAGAATCGCGGACACGGCGTCAATGGTCAGGGACGTTGCTCGCCGCGTAAGTACACACACGCATGCCTCGCTCGTGAAATTCGTCGCCGCGAACCAGCCACTTGGAGAACGCGTGCGGTTTTCTTTGAGAAGCCTGCGATCGGCTTCGATAGCACCGGAGAACCTCGATTGTCGAATGATTTACACTTGCGAATCTCTTCTGTTGCGTTTCACTTAAAGATTACAGGTATAATCAATTGTAAAAGGAATATGACAAAGCTGGAGAACAGGTAGAATATAACGTTTCTTTTATTCCCGGATCGCAACGAGAATTCGGAACATCTCGCGCCGCTATCTATCAACGCGGCACTCCATCGAACATTCATTCCCATTTTCATACGGCTATTCGAACGACCGGCGAACTCCATATTTCACACCGCGCGCGAGTGCAGGCGGCTCATCGCAAAATCGTTTCCACGCACTCCTCGTAAAATTGGAACGTCCTCGTTTCGAATGGTACCGGGCCGCGTGTCCGGCTTCCACTTCGATGTATCGCTATTTCGTTCGGACGGCGTTCTTCGTGGTCAGTCGAACAACTGTGACGAATATCGAGTTTCCGCGGTGACCTCCATCGAACCGCGGCACGCCGTTTAAATTCATGTGTATACGGGATCGGCGTTGTCCCGCACGCGCTTTTAATTCGGACCTTTTTGTTCCGTGGCCCCCTCCCTCCCTCTCTCTCTCCCTCTTTCTCTCTCGTCTCTCTCGAAGAAGACACGGTCATGAAGAAACAAGACGTTGCTGTCACGGCCGTAAAAATAAATTTCCTCCCCGCTTTCCCCGCCCGGCCGTCTCCGACCCTCTGTTCCTCCTCCACCTCTTTGCACACCTTCCTCCTCTTCGTCTCTTTGTTGCAACGCGTTTCTCCGCCTCTCTGCACCCACCCCCCTCGCCGCGTCTCTC